AGGGAGGTATTCAGAAACATTTCAGGTAAACATCAAGGACACTGAAGGTCAAACAGTTTGATTCTTGAAAATATAAAACAATTAGCTAAATGAATCAATCCAGAACACATGAATTGCGGATTTCTATTAAAAGATTTTGCTTATTGCCTTTATAATGCAGTTTCAATTACAGCAATATTTTGGCGTATTTATAGTGTTGACATGTTTATAGGTGGTTTTTTTTAGCTTCATACTTTATCAAAGTCTTTGCTGTCTTTATTTGTTGCTTTTAGGAACTTTGCAGAAATGTTTTTTTTAATGCTGTTTTTAGAAATTAAAAATATATCAGATGAATGTTTGTCACTTCTCAGCAATAATAATGAAAGATATCAATAAAAGGCAGAATATGCCATGCCAAAGTGCTAAAACATGTATTTTCACACTTTGCTGTTGGCCCACAGTGACGTGATATTCTATCTCTCACTGTGGGTTTGAAGCTCACGCCTTCATGTCCTCACACATGTCGTGTTGTTATAGACTCTGGCGCCATCTAGTGGCATTAAGCAGAAAAGAGTGTTTGAGTAAAGCTGTACAGGTGTGTGGTTGCTTTGTATTAAACATTATTTTCTCCTCAAGTTTTTATCTTCATTCTGTGAACAAACAGATTCCCTGAATGAAGAACAAGCATCTTTAACTCCTCAGTGAACACACCTTAAAGCAGATCATAAGTCTCAGCTGTGATTAAAGCTACCAGTCAAGTCATGAACTTAATATAAAAACTAATAAGAAGTCTCTGATTTTAAAATGCTTTCAGAAGTATTTTATTATGAATCTTGTTAATCATAGAAGCAAACAGATGTATGACTGCAATAATAAGATGAAAAGAAAAAAAAAACGATTTACAAAATTCAAGGCTGAAACACTGAAATGTGTGTGTGCATCACTTTTGTGGCATTAAGTATGAGGTTGAATATAAAATGTTAAAAGAAGCTTTAACAGTGTATAGAGCTAAAAAATCAGGCAATGATCCAAAACTGAGAATTACAATTTCTCATAAAAACCTGTTGCCACTTGCCAGCAAACACTTTTGACTGCATGAATATTGATAAATTACGAGAACAAGTGAAAGACTATTCTCACAACAAACAACAGTTTATTCTTTCAGTATAACTTTTGTAAAAACAAACGTTATTTTCATTTCAATTATGTGTGAACTACTATTTACTTACCAATAATGTTGTGGTAAATTCTTACTACAATAAAAACTTTATCTACACAAACAAATTTTGCTTTAGGCAGAAGTGAGATAAAACAAAAAATACAAACAGAAGAGAATTGTTCATCCAAACTCTATTTCCACATTTGTAAAGTCACACGGTCCAAATGGAGCGGGTGAGAGTCGACACAGAGATGTTGGTTTCAGAGAGTTAAAGTCGAGATGCAGAGCTTCTCATTTCAAGCATTACAACAGAATCATTCTCATACTCTGTCACCTCGTGGACTGCAGAGCCCTCAGCTTTCTTCAAGTCATTTTTCTTACAAGCAAAGTAGACAAAAATCCCAGTTAATATCAGAAACACCACAGCTGCTCGCAGACCACAATAGAGCAGGGGGAGAGCTGTTCGGAAGAAGAAACAAAAATGAAGCGTCAGGGTAAGGCTTAGTTATTGTGGGTCATGACTGCTGGTGTAATTGATGTATGTGTTGAAAGTAAAGGGCTCTTTGGATGCTTCAATGTCACTCTCCTTACCCTTAGTGTGGCTGGAGGATGTGATCTTAATAGAGGGTTTATTTGACACTGTGATGTCAGGCTCCTTACCCTCAGGTGTTGGTTGAGGACACAGTGTTTCATAAGCTGGAGGAAACCAATTTGATATGTACGTCCCATTGGATAAGGTGCACTGGAGAAATGTGAAGCCTATGGGAAAGAAACAGATCAGCGACTGATAAATGTTGAAATAACAGTTTGGGTCTTGTGTTTTCACTCACCACAGGTCTGCTTTTCTTTTCGGACAACACTGACATCATTTCTGACTGAGCAGACCAGTTCTCCTGACACGTCTTGTTTCACAGTGATATTCTGACTCTCACTATTTCCAGAGAGGAGCTGAGTTTGTGTCAGTGTTTGTCCACCCAGAGTCCATCTGTACTGAGGACTGTCCCCTCCCTCAGAGGAGCATGAGGCCTTCATCTCTCCCTGGGACAGACACTCAGAGACCAGCAGGACAGAGGACACAGGAGCTGAAGGAAACACACTCAGATTCATTTTTATTCACGGAAACATTTTTATTATATAAAAGTTTCATAAACAGAACAGATAAAGAAACAGATATATGTAGAAGAAGAATATAAATGTATATCTAAATTACTGAATACCACAGTGGATTAAAAATACTACTTACCTTGAATGGTCAACTGTAGAGTGCGTTTCTCTTGATTTGTTCCACTGTTATCTTTATAGAATTCAAGAGTATATTCACCACCATCATTCCTGCTCAGGTCATTGATCCTAAATGTTCCATTACTTGGACTAAATGAGGAACGTTTCTCTATCAGATTAGACAAAATCATATTATTCCTCAAACGAAGTATTGTTGTTGTATTAAATATCCACACTGATCTAAATATTTTTGAGGTGTCGTCCATCAGCCGGAGGACCACAGTTCCTCCAAGAGCTCCATAACATTTAGCTCCATTCTGTCTGCCATCACAGAAGGTCTCAACACCTAGAATTAGAAAATAAGAACTCGTAATAGACACATTAATATCACAATATTGATCATTTAATTCTTAATAAATTGTTAACACTGTTTCAAAGCATATACAAATAGGCTAACAATTATATTTAAAAAAATTGAAATAAGCGTGTTTTTTGCAGACCACACTTATCAAACAGGTTAAACACTTGTTTGTAGACAGGCCTTTGATTTAGTGACAGTCAATGTCCAGCTAACAGAGGTGTTTTGTTTTATAAACCTTCTCATTGTATTAAGTAAGGCAATCTGAAGTAGTCAGTTTAATCCCCTGATGTTTTCTTTCACAACTAAAAAACTTCATTGTAAATTAAAGACAATCACACCGTTAATCGATCACTAGTACCTTTTTTTATAAGGGGGTATTGATTAAATGTAGGTTGTTTTTGCATGAAAATAGTTAGGTTAAAAATGATGTAACTGCTATGACAAAGCACACTGTCAGACCGTGTTGCATTTTAAACGCTGAAGTGACTCAAGGGGAAGAATATCAGGGGACAAGCCACCAAAAAGTGAATATCTAAATGATCAATAAAAATATGATTTGACAATTTGACATATTGTTTGTATAACAACTCAGGTTTATTTAACTGAACATTTTACCTCTGAATCAAAAGATCATTTAAATGAAAGTTCAAATCATATACAGTTGAGGTTCAAACAGCCAGTCCTAAGTTAACTTTATCAATAAAAAAGGTCATTCTTTCACATCAAACATTAGTCTCAAGCTATTCTCTGAGCGGAGATCATCTCTATTCCAAACTTATAAAACCAGCAGATGCACTAAAATGTGAGGCCTCTTTTCCACAGAATATTGAACCTTAAATAAATGTGTTAGCTCACCATGAGAGGTGCCATGGAGCAGCAGCAGCAGCAACAGTCCACAAACAGCGTCCATGTCTCCTCAGTTTTCAGCCTCTGGTGACTCTCTGTCAGCAGCTTCCAGAACAAACTTTTCTACTTCCACTAGAGACAAACAAGCAGATTTTCGCCAAACAGCCTCAAACGTGTCTCTCGAATGATCAGCCTCAGAGAATAATGTGTGAAAACCTTTACAAAGCGTCAACTGCTGTCTTAATCGTTACATCGTTAAAGGAAGTTGTGTCAGTTTCACTTCCCCTTTAACCAAACTAAAAGGGTCTTTTGGTGTGATGGACAGCCTGGAAGAGAAGGAAACATTCCTTCTTTGATCCGAAAGAGGATTTGAGACTAACAGCTGATGTTTCTAAGATGTCTGTGTTCAAATATTAACAAGAAATGTATGCTATTTAACAACTGTATAACCTGGTATATCTTGATGTTATAATTCCTCACAAAATAAGGATCTTATACATCTCAATTCAACTCTTAATATGTCATAACAAGTTCAAACTATTCTAATTTGAATATGAGATGTTGGCTCAACCTCTCACACTGCCCCTAACCCTCTTATATTAGCAAGAGAACACTTGAAGAATATTTACAACAAACTGTATTTTCAAAGGGCTTAGACAGGGAGGTATTCAGAAACATTTCAGGTAAACATCAAGGACACTGAAGGTCAAACAGTTTGATTCTTGAAAATATAAAACAATTAGCTAAATGAATCAATCCAGAACACATGAATTGCGGATTTCTATTAAAAGATTTTGCATATTGCCTTTATAATGCAGTTTCAATTACAGCAATATTTTGGCGTATTTATAGTGTTGACATGTTTATAGGTGTTTTTTTTTTAGCTTCATACTTTATCAAAGTCTTTGCTGTCTTTATTTGTTGCTTTTAGGAACTTTGCAGAAATGTTTTTTTAATGCTGTTTTTAGAAATTAAAAATATATCAGATGAATGTTTGTCACTTCTCAGCAATAATAATGAAAGATATCAATAAAAGGCAGAATATGCCATGCCAAAGTGCTAAAACATGTATTTTCACACTTTGCTGTTGGCCCACAGTGACGTGATATTCTATCTCTCACTGTGGGTTTGAAGCTCACGCGTTCATTTCCTCACACATGTCGTGTTGTTATAGACTCTGGCGCCATCTAGTGGCATTAAGCAGAAAAGAGTGTTTGAGTAAAGCTGTACAGGTGTGTGGTTACTTTGTATTAAACATTATTTTCTCCTCAAGTTTTTATCTTCATTCTGTGAACAAACAGATTCCCTGAATGAAGAACAAGCATCTTTAACTCCTCAGTGAACACACCTTAAAGCAGATCATAAGTCTCAGCTGTGATTAAAGCTACCAGTCAAGTCATGAACTTAATATAAAAACTAATAAGAAGTCTCTGATTTTAAAATGCTTTCAGAAGTATTTTATTATGAGTCTTGTTAATCATAGAAGCAAACAGATGTATGACTGCAATAATAAGATGAAAAGAAAAAAAAACGATTTACAAAATTCAAGGCTGAAACACTGAAATGTGTGTGTGCATCACTTATGTGGCATTAAGTATGAGGTTGAATATAAAATGTTAAAAGAAGCTTTAACAGTGTATAGAGCTAAAAAATCAGGCAATGATCCAAAACTGAGAATTACAATTTCTCATAAAAACCTGTTGCCACTTGCCAGCAAACACTTTTGACTGCATGAATATTGATAAATTACGAGAACAAGTGAAAGACTATTCTCACAACAAACAACAGTTTATTCTTTCAGTATAACTTTTGTAAAAACAAACGTTATTTTCATTTCAATTATGTGTGAACTACTATTTACTTACCAATAATGTTGTGGTAAATTCTTACTACAATAAAAACTTTATCTACACAAACAAATTTTGCTTTAGGCAGAAGTGAGATAAAACAAAAAATACAAACAGAAGAGAATTGTTCATCCAAACTCTATTTCCACATTTGTAAAGTCACACGGTCCAAATGGAGCGGGTGAGAGTCGACACAGAGATGTTGGTTTCAGAGAGTTAAAGTCGAGATGCAGAGCTTCTCATTTCAAGCATTACAACAGAATAATTCTCATACTCTGTCACCTCGTGGACTGCAGAGCCCTCAGCTTTCTTCAAGTCATTTTTCTTACAAGCAAAGTAGACAAAAATCCCAGTTAATATCAGAAACACCACAGCTGCTCGCAGACCACAATAGAGCAGGGGGAGAGCTGTTCGGAAGAAGAAACAAAAATGAAACGTCAGGGTAAGGCTTAGTTATTGTGGGTCATGCCTGCTGGTGTAATTGATGTATGTGTTGAAAGTAAAGGGCTCTTTGGATGCTTCAATGTCACTCTCCTTCTCTTAGTGTGGCTGGAGGATGTGATCTTAATAGAGGGTTTATTTGACACTGTGATGTCAGGCTCCTTACCCTCAGGTGTTGGTTGAGGACACAGTGTTGGAGGAAACCACTTTGATATGTACGTCCCATTGGATAAGGTGCACTGGAGAAATGTGAAGCCTATGGGAAAGAAACAGATCAGCGACTGATAAATGTTGAAATAACAGTTTGGGTCTTGTGTTTTCACTCACCACAGGTCTGCTTTTCTTTTCGGACAACACTGACATCATTTCTGACTGAGCAGACCAGTTCTCCTGACACGTCTTGTTTCACAGTGATATTCTGACTCTCACTATTTCCAGAGAGGAGCTGAGTTTGTGTCAGTGTTTGTCCACCCAGAGTCCATCTGTACTGAGGACTGTCCCCTCCCTCAGAGGAGCATGAGGCCTTCATCTCTCCCTGGGACAGACACTCAGAGACCAGCAGGACAGAGGACACAGGAGCTGAAGGAAACACACTCAGATTCATTTTTATTCACGGAAACAATTTTGTTATATAAAAGTTTCATAAACAGAACAGATAAAGAAACAGATATATGTAGAAGAAGAATATAAATGTATATCTAAATTATTCGATACCACTGTGGATTAAAAATGCTACTTACCTTGAATGGTCAACTGTAGAGTGCGTTTCTCTTGATTTGATCCACTGTTATCTTTATGGGCTACAAGAGTATATTCACCACCATCATTCCTGCTCAGGTCATTGATCCTAAATGTTCCATTACTTGGACTAAATGAGGAACGGTTCTCTATCAGATTAGACAAAATCATATTATTCCTCCAACGAAGTATTGTTGTTGTTGTATTAAATATCCACACTGATCTAAATATTTTTGAGGCGTCGTCCATCAGCCGGAGGACCACAGTTCCTCCAAGAGCTCCATAACATTTAGCTCCATTCTGTCTGCCATCACAGAAGGTCTCAACACCTAGAATTAGAAAATAAGAACTCGTAATAGACACATTAATATCACAATATTGATCATTTAATTCTTAATAAATAAATAACAATAATCGAAAGCATATGCAAATAGGCTAATTATCATACGGAAAAAAAAACTAATATGTGTCCTTTGCCTACAAACCCCCCAATTATGAGGAAAGTCCTTCGTCTTTGCCTGCTCCACTTTTCAGAAAATGTTCTGCCTCTGACCTCTGAGACTTATTTAAACATGTTGAAAAGGAGTATAACATGTGACTTTAAATATCTTTGAGTTGTAATCCATCGGCTGGAGGAAAACAGTTCCTCACATAACAAATAGCTCCAATTTGTCTGCCATCAGAGGAGGACACATTTATGTGTTAACCTTTCATTAATATCTCATTGAATTTCTACAAAATGAAGTAACATGACAAAGACAATTGACCAAACACAAAGAAACGAAAGGTTTCCTGAAGCAGTATTTTTCTTAAACCAGAGTTTTCAAAACAGGAAGTAGTTCTTATAAACCTTAAGTGAGTTAAATGACTTGGTAATAGGTGACAAACCGACAGGAAATCACTTTGAATTCAAGAAGAGACTATCTCTTGATCCATCTTATCAATTTCCCATCTCTTAGGGGTTCTGGAGTGGCAATTTGTCTCTGGAGATCAAATTCTAAATCAAACAGGCCATTAAGGCACATTGGCAGCAGATGTTGTGAAGCCAAGAATTACGTTTTCTTACAATTGCACCATCACTGACTAATAAGTTAAGCATCACACTCGTAGGTATTATATGTATTAAAATTCAGAATTGTATCAAACTGTGCTTCCTTATAGCCAAAAAATAATATATTGTGGCTGCTTAAAATTCCTTGAGATAACACTTGTTATGAGTTGACGCTATACAAATAAAAATTGATTGACTGATTGATTAAAATCATGAAGCAAACAAATCCATTAGTGTACTCTGAAATAGAACAAGCTCACCATGAGAGACTCTGAACAGAATCACAAACAGTCCAAACACAACCTTCATGTCTCAGATGTCTTCTGAAGGCGATCTGGAGAAGGAAAAGGCTCAGAAAAATTAGCATGTCTTTATATTCATGATATTCATCTGAACTTTTTAAGGGTGGAGCTCGTCAGCATGTTGAGTAAATTGTTGAATCCCCAGAGAAACCACAGACTTGCTGCACAGTAGTTATCTGTTTTCTACTTCCTCCTTTTATGATTTACCCTAATCTGTTCACTTCTGGCTTTTCTTACTTTTAGTTTAGTTTTCTTCTCTTTTTACTACGCAGTACTGAACAACAAATGTTATGGAAATTGATCAACATCTATATGGTTCCTCTTATGAGCTTTAAGGTAAAAGTATGTTCAACACAAGCAGTAAAATGCAGTTCCTCTATTTTATTACAGCTGCAAGCTGTGTCTGTAAAAAAGTCATTCTCATCATGTCATTGTTAAGTCTCCAGTGCTTTAACCTGCCTCTCTAAGCCTTTGAGAGATGTTGGGTTTTATGATGACCTGAACTGATGGTTGTTGTATTCTCACCATGAAGTTCTCCATTTCTAAAATAGATTCTAACACAGGATGTCCATGAAAGATGTAAGATAAACACTTGCCTCACTTACCACACAGATTCTGTGTTCCTTCACTGGAAACAGTCGAATACAGCAACAACAAGAAAAAGCCACAACATTTTGCAGGACTTGCATGAATAAAGTGTAATTTATTTACACTGCCTTTGTGTCATAAAACCTACAAAGAATGATACGTTTTCAGATATAACACTATTTAATGTTGTCTTTTGCAATATTCTTTGCTTTTTTTCAGCTTTTTAATGTCTTTGCATTGTGACAGGAAATATTTAAACCATCAGTGAAGCCTCTGAACCCCTAGTAGTCAGAAACATTGTAAATCTTAACGAGTTGAAAATACTCAAAATGTTTGTCTTAACTGATTACATTCAAGTTTTTAAGTAGTGGAAATAAAATGTTTTAAAAATACTTAAGTAAAAAAAAAAAATGTTTTGTTTACTCAAGTGTTTTCTTGTTTTCTCAACTCAAACTCATGACTTAGTTAAAAATATATTCTTAAGTTACACATACTAGCTTAAATTGATGAAACTCATTCAAATTAATTACAACTGACTTGGACTGTTGGTGGAATATTGTCTAACAACCTAAGCAAATAAATTCAAACTATGGCAGTGTAGGTCAAGTATCAAGTAGGTCCAAAATCAGAAGGTCCAGCGAAAGTCAGAGAAAGCCAAAAAAGCGGTGGGAGAGAGGTTGCTCTGCTGGAAGTTCTTATGGGCCGTCATGTGTCTGCTTTGTGTGATTGAGCCGCATGCCTTTGATGCTCTAACTCTCCTGTCCTCACTGAGGATGTTGCTGTTTCCTGACAGATCTCTGGTTCATGGTTTGGTTCTTCGTCAGCCATCAAGGCCAGATTGTCATTGATATTTTTGCTCTTTTCCGCTCTTTGTTTAGACACTGCACCAATATACACCAAGTCAAATTCCTATGTGTAAATGTACTTGGCTGATTCTGATTCTCTTCGTTTTGGCCTTCTTCTTGCTCTGTGTGGCTCACTCTCATAAGGATACTCCTCATTAAGAACTGCTTTGGCTATCTATTAATGACTAGTGTTTGGTTCAACTTTAATGAGAGCATTTCGGCTTCCACACTCTCCCGCCTACTGTTGTAAAATGTAAAATTTCTATGTTGCTCTTTATTTTGCATAATTTTCCTCTGTTTTTCTTTTTGTTTAATGTTTCTTAATAGCTGTACCTACTAGCACAGGTAGTTCTTAACAACACTAGTTGAAACAAACTGTAACTTTCATGACTGTCGTTTCAAAGTCAATTAGAGAAACCTAGAAATATGCATTCAAGACTTTTCATAGATTTGTATCAGTTGAACTAAATTTGTAAGAATCGTTCTGTGACCCCTGTGAACGGTTACACTCCAATACATACCAGTGCGCATTGGCCATAGTACAGGTAGCCAGGAGGTACATTAAACGTTTGCAATACTGCCACAGGGGGGCTTTTCTAGTAAAAATCATTTTTTGCCACACCCTTGCCACAACTTTCCTTAAAAAAAAAAACATAGGTGAAGTTGTAGTGACAAATTTCAGCGTTTGTAATCACCAAGTTGTCGTTGTAAAGCACGGACTCAAGTAAAAAAAAGTGAGTAAATGTTTGATTGCAAGTTTGCAGCTGTCTTTTATTTGTAGAAATATAACTCCATACATTTATGATGATTTTTACATCAGAATCTGCGAGCTCTCCATTTTGGCAGCATGATAACCTTCATGGTCCGTCAAAGAGGGTAAGAGTCGATATTAGGGTGGTGGTTCAGATGCAGAACAGATGTATTTAGATTTTCCATCATCTCAGGAACTGCAGAGCCCTCAGTTGTCTTAAATTGATTTTTCTTCCAAACAAAATAGATGACAATCCCAATGGATATAAGAACGGCTGCTAGAACATCATATAGGAGTAGCGACTGATCTGTTTCGATGAAGAGACACAAAAACCACAAGTTAATTACAACTCATACAAAAAAAAGAGTTTGATTGGCCTGTCAATACAACAGATATTTTAGTTACACCAGGATACCTCTCTTACCGTCTGTATTAATCCAGTTTGGGCTCGTTGTTGGCTCAATACACCTGTTGTTAATGGCTTTGATAGCCCAGTGAGGTATGTACGTCCCATTAGGTAAGGTGCAGTTGATGTAAATGAAGGCTATAGAAAAGATACAGAGCAGAGACTGATGTTAAGGATTCCTGATAACCAGAACTGGTAGATGGTTGCTTATGTTGGGTCCATACATGTCTAATAATAGCAACAAGGAGACAATGTCCTCAAAACAAAATCGACCAAAGTGTTTTGTTTTCATTCTTTTTGAAATAAATATAGCCTATAACTTTTTTCACACTATGTAACTTTGATCTAACTACATGAAAACTCCTCAACCAATACAGGCCTAATTCAATGTAAATGCCATTCACTGCTCCATTTAGGCCTTCTGTTGTTTCCTGTAAATTGGCAACTAAAGATATTTTCATGGTGTAGCTCATAGAGCACTCTGGCTATGCTATCAGCCAGAAAGCTAATGTATGCTATCCAGATTAAAAGTCAGTAATACTGCTTATATTAGCTGATATCCAGAAAATATCATATTCATGTTTGACAACAAGACTAAAGACACACCCTGCAGCCAAATGTATGGTGGCTGGGAAGTGCAAAGCAAAATTGCAAAGTGTGAAACACTTTTACAAAATTTGAGACAAATTTACATTCAGTCAAATTTGGTACATTCCCTTTCGGTCAACATTCGTCGTTTGTAAATTTGTCTGGGGACTAGGAAAAGTGTTCTGCCACTTGTACATTTGTCTCAGCGCTTGTAAAAGTGTTTCAAATCTTTCAAATTTGTTTTAAAAAATGTAAATGTGTTTTGTTCTTGGTTTTGTTTTTTTTTATTTTGTTTGATGAAATGTTAACATGTTTTTCAAAATGTAAATTTGTCTCAAATTTCTGTTAAAGTGTTTCACACTTTGTAATTTTGCTTTGCACTTCCCAGCCACCATACAAATGGAATCAAGTAGTCAAATTATCCCATAGCTAAATCAAATTCAGGTGATTAAGATCTTAATTATGGATTGTTTTTCATCTCCTCATCAGAAATGACCAAAAGGGAGATATTTGTGCATTGTCTTATTTGTATCAAACACTATTCCTAGACATACAAATGGTTCAGTGAGCCCTGAGAGACAACTTTTATATTTATTTTTCAAATCTTCCCTCAAAAGAAAAAAAAAGACTACTGCAAGCTCTCAAATTGGTTCTAAAATGAAAGTTCAGTCTATAGAACTGAAAAGAGATGAAACAAGTATGAGACAAGTCAAAGATCTTTGAATTATATTAAGGTTGTCTCATTCAAAGATCTGAGCTTAAAGAAAAATGAAACAAGTGTGAGATGTCAAATTAGTCTCAATATGATCTTAACAGTAGACAACACCTGAGCCTATATCTTATGAGGTCATATTAATATTACCAACACATTGCTATAGTAAGACTAAGAGAATCTATTTATGGGATGTACGAGATCAATGTTCTTCACATACAATTATTTTCATTAAACAGAAATCCCCTAGAGCACAAACTGTTAAAGGTAATGGTTTGTTTTAGGTAAAGGTGTGATTCACTTTTAAAGCAGATAGTATAACAACATGAAGGATTCTGTTGTTTTTAATATGGTAAAATTAAGAATCTTACATTTTTTGACAGACAATTGTCAATCATTTGACTTTGTTGCCTTGAGCTCTGCCTGAGAAAATCTTTGTTGAATACGGATCAAAGATTTCTTATGTTGATCTCGTGAAATTCTCTTAAAACATAAATAAGACATAAATGAGACAATATGAGCTCTCTAAATTATTGCTTTGATGATTGTCGCAATTTTTTACTGTATGTCTCATTAATGATTTGTCTCATTTTCGCCTGATTTCATGCTCATGAATTCAGACACTAAAAAGACAAACTATTTTCTACGCATGCTTGCTCTTGCTCACCACAGGCAGATATCCCACTGATGTGATTCCTGACTGAGCAGACCAGTCGCCCTGACACGTCTTGTTTCAGAGTGATGTTGTTAGTGTCATTATTTCCAGAGAGGAGCTGAGTTTGTGTCAGTGTTCGTCCATCCAGAGTCCAGCTGTACTGAGGACTGTCCCCTCCCTCAGAGGAGCATGAGGCCCTTATCTCTCCCTGGGACAGACACTCAGAGACCAGCAGGACAGAGGACACAGGAGCTGAAGAAAGAATACAAATTAGTTTAAGTGTTAACAGAAACATTTTTATAAAAATGTATATAAAGTATAAGATGTGAAAAAAATACAGATATGTAGCAATACACATGTATGTACAGTATCCTTACTTTAATAAAAGTGTCTTGTGGTTGACCACATAGTTATTTTATATTGTTGATGTGATACATTGTTTTGAGGATCACTCTGTTCAGATATGTAGCACCCATGTGCAGTGACTGTGGTTGTGTGAACATGACCGCAAACACTGCCATGTGACTGAACGTTCTGAGTGTCCACTTCAACGCATACCTTCAATGGTGAATTGTTGAGTCTGATGCACTACTTT